GGTTCAAGTGATTCTCCGGCCTCGGCCTTTCAAGTAGCTGGGATTACAGTTACGCACCACCATGCCAGGCTAATTTTTTTTTTTTTTTAGTAGAGACGGAGTTTCTCCATGTTTGTCAGGCTGGTCTCGAACTCCTGACCTCAGGTGATCTGCCCAACGTGGCCTCCCAAAGTGCTGGGGTTACAGGCATGAGCCACAGCGCCTGGCCTGGATATTTCTCTCAATCCACGCGGACGAGTTCATGCTACCTGCTCGCACACTGCATAGGGACGATGTGGGTGCTTGTGCCGGATGCTCACCCTTAAAAAAGGCAAATTCAGTTTTGCCTCATTCATTCAGGGGACTAGGTCTTGCTGTGTTGCCCAGGCTGGCCTCAAATTCCTGGGCTCACGTGGTCTACCGGCCTCAGCCTCCCCAGTAGCCACCACACCCATCTCATTTCCACCCGTTTCATGAACAGGATTTTGCTGTCCCAATCCTGCTTGAGTCCTGCTAACCCGGCCTCGGAGAGTGAGTGACTGGGTAGTGGAGAAGCAGCGTCACCCAGCAGGTCTTGCTGTCCTGTCTTTCAGTGTCCGCCCTGCCGAAGCCTCACCCGGGTCCTGGTGGAGTCCTACCGGAAGATCAAGGAGGCCGGCCAGAGCTTCGAGATCATCTTCGTTAGTGCAGACAGGTCAGTTGTGCCGTGAAGTGCTGGGCCCCTTTTCTGTAGGTAGCTGACATCCTTTTTTTTTTTTTTTTTCTGAGATGGAGTCTCACTCTGTCACCCAGGCTGGAGTACAGTGGCTGGATCTCGACTTCCTGCAACCTCCACCTCCTGGGTTCAAGCGATTCTCCTGCCTCATCCTCCCAAATAGGATCGAGTGGTTCTCCGGCCTCAGCCTTTCAAGTAGCTGGGACTACAGGCGCCCGCCACCATGCCCAGCTAATTTTTGTATTTTTAGTAGAGATGGGATTTCACCATGTTGGCCAGGCTGGTCTCAAACTCTTGACCTCGTGATCTGCCCACCTCGGCCTCCCAAAGCACTGGGATTACAGGCGTGAGCCACCGCGCCGGGCCGGATGGCTGTTTTCTCAGCTCTGGCCATGCGCTGTGTCTGGTGCTATTTGAATGCACACGGATACACACGGATACACACAGATACACACGGATACACACAGATACACACGGATACACACGGATAAGGAATCACAAAACAGACATTCTCCCCGGAGTCAGTCAGCTCCTCTGAGCCTCAGGTTCCTCTGCTTCTTACCTTCTCTAAGGCCTCACTTATCAGGGAACCTCCTTCACCTCGAAACTCCCGCCCCAGTTGAGACGGAGTCACCAGGGGCCTCTGCCGCTTACGTTCGTGTCCACAAAAGGATCCGAGATGCCGGCACACGGAGGGCACTTTGCACAGTCTGTCTCTTATACACATCTAGATGTGTATAAGAGACAGGTCTTGCTCTGTCGCCCAGGCTGCAGTGCAATGGTGCGATCTCGGCTCACTGCAGCCTCCACCTTCCCAGGTTCAAGCGATTCTCCTGCTTCGACCTCGCCAGTAATTGGGATTACAGGCATCCGCCACCACACCCGGCTAATTTTTGTATTTTTAGTAGAGATGAAGTTTCACCAAATTGGTCAGGCTGGTCTTGAACTCCTGACCTCAGGTGATCCTCCTGCCTCAACTTCCCAAAGTGCTGGGATTACAGGCATGAGCTGCCGCGCCCGGCCTGTTCACTGATACTTCTGATGTACACATTGAGCACGCGCCGTGTCAGGGCCGCAGACGGGCTTGGGGCTGCGCTGCCTGATGTCAGGCCTCAGATGGCCCCGCCTGTGGGAGAGGACGTGGTCTGGGCAGCTTCTGCCCCTCCCACCCCCGCACTGTCCCTGTCCCTGACTGTCTCCTGCTCACTGTCATTTCTGGGTGACGGGGAGTGTGCGGCCCGCGTCCCGGAGCAGTCTGGTTTCTGGGGTTGTTACTTCCTGGGCAGTGTTTTGTGTTGATCTCACCGGTCAGCAGCACTGTTCTCACAAGTACAAGTTCGGGCAGAGTCACTGCATCCCACTGCCTCCAACCGCCAAAACAGACGAAAACCCACGGCCTGTTCTGGGGCAGAATCGCCAAGAATGGGCCTTTGTGGCCCCCCGGGAGCAGAGCTGTTGGGGGATGTGAGGTGGGGCAGGCAGAGGCCCCATGACCATCGCACCCCTCACTATTGGCTTCTCATCCTTTTTCCCTGCTCCTCTTTCAGCCTCTCTCCTCAGCAGGCCTGCGTTAGAGGGAACACGACGGCTGCCCCGAATTCCCTCAGTGCCGCTCTTCTGCCCTGAAGCATCCCTCTTTCATCCTTGGGTTCCATGACTTAGGAGGTCTGTGTGTCTCCCGCCCCGGTTCCTCTTTCTTCATCCCTCTTTCATCCTTGGGTTCCATGACTCAGGAGGTCTGTGTGTCTCCCGCCCCGTTCCTCTTTCTTGGTAGCGGTATCATCCCTACATTTTTTCCCTTTTGGTCTCAGTCGTCACCCAGGATGGAGTGCAATGGCGCAATCATGGCTCACTGCAGCCTCCAACTCCTGGGCTCAAGCCATCCTCCCACCTCAGCCTTCTGCCACTCCAGGTGATTTTTAAAGACTTTGTAGTGACAGGGGTCTCACCGTGTTGCATAGCTGATCTCGCACTCCTGGCCTAAGCAATCCTCCTGCCTTGGCCTTCCAAGATCCCTACTTTCTTTTTCTTTTTTTTTTTTTGAGAC